GTTCCATTAGCACCCCACGAACAGATGTCACACATTATAAACAGACCATCATGTCTAATCCTTTTTCAAGATACCAAGATACCAAAACAAAGTGAAGCGATCAAAAGTAAACCTTGAAGTAACAGGCCAACTCCATGTTTCAAAAATTGTTATTTACAAATGGTCTGGTTTTATAACTGTATTAGTGAAAAAGGCCTTTACTTTCTTGAAAATAAAAATCATGGAAAAGTGTAAAATAAAACCTTCGCAACTTCCCTGAACTTCTAAGCATGTCTTTATATCATAGTAATTTAATAGCCCACGAATATGTAACAAGTGCAACGCCAATTGTTGCCAACGATATTGGAAGTATGTACATACAAAAAGCACATTTCCTGAAGGACTGTTAAAACTATCCGTAAAAGAAGCCAGTATGTTACTTTACAGACAAAGTTACCATAGTCGTTAGAGAAAGGCAAAATAAAAGTAATTGTAAACCGAATTGTTTTGAGGGGCGTCGGAATATTTTGGCTGCTAAATCCTCCGCGAACCCGATCTCCTCCCTTCAAAGTATTGTCGAGCAAAAAAAAAATTAGACAAAAACAAAAAGTATTGCAAGTTAGATGTTCACGAATGGAAGAACTGAAAGATTTCACTCAACGAAGTTCGGGGGAGCTTTCTATGACTTAAAAAAAAAAAAATGTAAGGGGAGAGGGCCTCCTCTCCAGGGTTCTATCTGTTTTCTCTCAAGGTTCATGCTGGAGAGGACTGAGAAAGAGGTTGAGATCGCGATTTCACATTCAGCCTAAGGATTTAAGCGTTCGAGTTTAAAACACCCACACCATCTCATACTGATCCCCTATTGTTGAAAATAACACATCAAAAGGGTTGATCAATAGTTAAACGCTCGTTCTACCCGTCATTATACGACGACAAAAAAAAAACGACGGCAACACATTCTTAAAATCTCTTATTTCTAAAAGCAAACAAAATCTACAAAACAGTAACCATCAATACTGTAGAAAATCGATTAATTCATATCTTTGGCGTAATAAAACAAATTTCACGCATCTGAGATCGCCATTCTTCCCTCCAGAAGTAAAAGATATAAATACGTTTGGCTTCAGCGGCGTATAACAACGGCAAGGAAGACATATATTAAATTTCGATTCACAAATACTCCAAGTTCAGTACTATACAGATTGTCTATCATTGATTGCCGTTGTATTCTTGGGGTATAAATCTAACCCACTCCACACTAAGTTTTTTATATGTAAGTATCATTTGTGCTGATAGGGAGCTGTACAAGACAGTTTCTGTTTTTGCCAAAGATGATTCACTTAAACATAATAGTGCAAGCCTCACTGCACTCACCTTGTCGTCCATTAACATCAGTAGCACGTACCAAGAAGTGGTTCTTATTGCCGGGTGATAACTGAGTCAGAGTGCAAGTCATAGGAAGCGGCAACGCCTTGACGACTCCAATCTTCTCCCACTGGTGAGGGTTCTCCGTTGTGCCGCCGTCCCGAAGCGCAAACAGTTGCTAGTTCATTATAGGCGCGTGTCTCTCCTCAAGAGCCATGTACCACGACAAAACGATACCGCTTGGAGCCACCGCTATGGAGACATTAGGTTTCGGAGGGGGGTCTTTAGTCTCTGTTGCTGGAGATACAGGGGATGTTGCCCTGAATCCGGCGGTAGATCCTGTTGGGTAGGCTGTTGGGGTCTTATAGATAATTGTGAATAGCTTTGCGAGGCGAATAGCAAAGGAGTTTGAGTAGCCAATCAGAGCGCGCCTTCATTGCCATCCACCGTTTAAGTATAAACTAATTTCTAAATCAAATTCAATGGCAGATCTCTCCCTTCAAGGAAGGGGTGCCACTAACAAAACATTTTTGACACAAAAAGCACCTTGTTACCTAGGTCTCACAGTCTTTGATTTTGCTTCCATCTCGCCTTTTATCCATTGTATCATGAACCTGTACATTTATTTTACACAGTTGGAACCAGTCTTGAGACATGGTTTGAGAACCAATGCTAACCTGGGCTCAGTTGTTGGAAGGCTGATTAGTGCTAACCCAGGGTTAAATTTTAATTCAGGTTTCCTTACTGCTTTGTTAAAAAGCCTTTTTTGGATAATTTTCTTTATTTTTTAAAAGGCATCCAATCATTAAATCGTAAACAAAACAAATTATAATGAATTTTCTTTTATAGCTTTAACCCTATAACTCCCAAGATCTGATTATTAATTTCCTCCTCTACCTGCTTAACATTTCCTTGTCAATTAGTTGTGAGAATTTGGTGTTAGATCAAGATAACAACTTCTACCTTCTCATTACGTGTTTGCTGGATAGTGCACGGATATTGTTAGGAAAAGTTATATATGAGTCACTTCTGGGAGTTAACATCTCATATCAGATTTCCCACTAACCATGAGGCTACCTCAACCCAGCTTTGCACAATGTGGCCCAAGGCTAAAGACAAGGACAGCCTAAGTTAAAGTAAAACTTAATTTCCTCTTAAGTCTTAGTGTCCTTTCTATCCTTTCTGGGTGAAAGTTTTTTCTTAGTTTCCTCCTCAGCTTTTCCTCTGCTCCTTCTTCGACCTTCATGACAGATCTTGGAGTTAAGACAGAACTCGCACATTGGACTTACAGGAACACATGTCTGTTGAGCAAATCCAACCAACAATACATTCAGTTCATCCCACTCCTCTCTGCAAAACAGAAAACGAATTCACTAATTTAGTCTCTGAAGCCATACACTCTAATTATTTAACTGTGGGCTATGCGTAAACAGAATATGATAGTCAAGGTTTGCTATGCATCTAGAGAATCTTGAACCTAGGTCTGAAAGTCCTTAAAGTTTTCCTTTTTGCATTCTGCTCCTTGAAAGTCAGGAAGGAACAAAAGCCTGTTCATTCCAGAATACTTGTAAAAATTGTTTGGAACTTGCACAATATCTAGGTCTCTAAAATGTGGCAGTAAGTGAAAAGGCTTTGGCAAGGAAGGAGCAAAATACCTGGTGAAGAGAATTTGCCTAACTTGGTATCATTCAAAATCACTTTTCACCAGCCTTCTACAGCAATTCTAGTTTCCTCTGGTAGTTAAGTACGTTTTTTGACCCATCCTGGTCTGTTAGAAATTCTATGAACACGAGTATCAACTCCAATTCCAGTCACTTGTCCCCAAGCCATGTTCATGGTAAAATGCACCACTTTTGGGCCCACACCTGGAAGTTTGCAGAAAGAGGACCTACGCTATTGGTGAGAATATGGTGACGAAACAATAGTGTAGTTCCACTTTCTGCATATAAACCCACACACAACCCACAGTTCCTCGAATTGCTCTGATGAAGGGCTAATGCTTGAAACATCAGCTTTTTTACACTTTATGCTAGCCAATTTATGTTTTCAACTCAGTTGTTAACACTAAATTACCTATTATTAGGATAAGTTTCATATTGATAACCTCTGGAAGTTAAAGGGTTACAAGTTAAAAAGGGAGCTCAGTGTCATAGATTTTGAGCCATTTTTGTTGCTTCTTTTTCTACTTCTAGACTTCTGCTAATGGTTTTTATGATAAAGGGGGGGGAGGGAGGGA